GTAAAACGTAACGTAATTTATAAAATCACGAGTATAAAAAATTTTCTACAAAATATAAGTAGTATTTTATTAAAATCTCAATAGCCAACACTATATAAACAAATCAAAATCAAATGCCACCCATCAAATGTATAAATTTAAAAAAAAAACGCGTACCCCACAATAATAATTTCACCTAAAATAATTTTGTGCTCTTTCCTTCTTCTTCTATTTTCAGATTTTTCTTAAAATTTATTCTGTTCTTTTTTTATTTTTTTATAGTTAAAATTTAACTACATCTAGTTTTCTCCTAATTTATATTCATGACATGTTCCGCCTAATAATATTTTTGCATCATTAAAACTCTCCAAATTGGTCATAAACTCTCCCACAGATTCTTTATGTTTTATTGCGACATTTCTCTTTTCTTTCTTTTTCTTATCCTCGTTAACTGATTTGCTTTTCTTTATTCTTAAGTTTTGTTTTTTTTTGTTTTTTAATTTTATATAACAGATTCTTTTACTGTTTTTAATTTTGTTTTTTTTTTGTTTCAAAATTTTTATAGTTTTTTCTTTTCTTTTCTTAGAATAAAAAAAAAAAAGAAATTTTCAATATTTTTACCAAGTCATAGTAGTACGGGAGCAATAACAACAGCAGCAGCAGCGAGCAGTTACAACAACAGCAACAAAAATGCTGTAATGTTGATTAAAAAAAAAAAACAAAAACAGAAAAAGAACCAACGGAATACTTAATCTATTGATGAAATGAAATTCTAGGTACTAAACCAATTCATAATGGTTTTGTTGTAGAAGTTTTTCTGAAGAGGGACGACTCTCAATTCTATACTCATCAAGAAAACATGAAAATTAAACATGAAACATTTTCTTTTCGCTTCATATGTGTTTGTGCGTATTATGTAATAGAGAAGCACATATGTACATGTAAGTATGTGTGTATGATTTTTTCAAAAAACCAAATAAAATTGTAAAGAAAAATGAATTAAAAAAAGCAACAGCTGTTTAAAAAATTTAGAAAATTAATCAACAATTTTGTTTATTACTTACGTACATGCATACATACATACATACATACATACATGCATACAAATCAACACATTTAGTGAACAGTAATAATTTTAATATTGAGAGAATTTAGGTACAAGAAATTAATTCGGGAAATTGTGTATGCAATTTTTTTTTTTTGGAAAAATTAAAAAATTTAATTTTTAAAATTTATTATAACGAGACACAATAAAGTTTACTTTAACTTTACAGTACAGTAGAACTTAAATAAGTACACGGACAGAGCACTTTTTTTCATACTCTCAATTAAGATCCCGTTCACTGTAATTGAGAATAAAATAAAAATTAGAAATTTTTTACTTCTTAATATCATCGAGTCGACTCTCTTTTTTTGCTTTCTTTTCTTTCTGTAAATCTCAAAATAAAATCTCACTAAAATATAATTTTTGAATTAAATACGAACACGATTTATTCCGAAAGAGTTTTCATATCTCATTTTTTTTTTTTGTGAAAACTCAAATATGCACGTTTGTATAATAATTGCATTGAAAGTACATAAAAAATTATAACATACACATGGGTTGTTATTGCTCTAAACCAGGAGAGATTAATAAAAAAAGGTAATTTTTTATTTAAAATAAAAAAAACAAGAATAATTTTAAGAAACCCTATTAACAGGTATGATAGCTCTACTTCCATCATCTGTAAATAAAACATACAAGAAGAAAAACTTAAAAATCAAAAAAATTGACAACAATAAGCGTTCAAAACAACTTTAAAAAATTAAAAAAGAAAAAAAAAAAAAGAGAAAAAAATCTCAACCTGCTTTTAGCAACTGCAGCCGTCATTCTTCTTTTTTTCAATAACAATATAACAACAAACAATATCATATGCATGTATGTAACTTAACAACGTTAACGTTAACGTAAAAGAACAAATGTTGTATTAAAATTGAAGTAAATAAAATTTATGAAAAAATACCCAAAGGCGGTAGACAAAAAAAAAAAAACAAAAACTATAATAACAAAAATTCTCCTCATAACTCTTTTTATGTGTGTGAAAAGTATCTTACCAATCTACGTAAGGAATCGCGCAACTGATTATGATAAACGATGGTCGGAGAAGGTTTAAATTATCAAAAATTAAAAATCTTAATAAAAATTTTTTTTATCTACATTTTACAAGTACACATAAAAGTTTCGAAATTAAGGGGAATTCACAAACAAATATCATTACCCACTCGGGGTCGCGGGATTCGTAATATCGGTTAGTTCAAAAATTTTTTAAAATATATACATACTCGTACTTAGATTTAAATTTCAAACTAGTATAAGCTTGAAGAGAAGGAACAATAATACGGTCCACAAAATAAGATGTATTGGTGCATTACAATAGAGGATACCATGTGATACGTTCCGGATCTTAAACATTTGCAAATATATATTTGGCCAAAATTGGTTTATTTTATTTTATTCAGCAGCTCTTGAATCATTACAGGTAATTTGATAATGTTTGATATACTATATATAAGCTTAAAGTGCAGGCACTTTGGATATACTACAATCAATGACAGCTGTCATGTCACTAATAGAAAGTTCATTGCACTCTACAATGAAAATTGGCCTTCTAATTTACAACTTTTTAATAGTTTCAATTGATTTCTGTTCCTTAATAATGAATGTGTTACGTGATCTGTTAAATTTTTTGACATTTCAGTAAAAAATTTCCTTAATTTTGCAGAAAATTTTAATTTAGAACTTTTTACCTTTAACCCTTTTGTGCATTGTTAAGGAAAAAATCACCTAATTTTTTTAAAGTTATATACAAACATATGTAAAAAATATAATAATTGCTCAGTTATAAAAATAACAAAAACAACAACAACAAATAAAAAACAAATTCTTCAGTTAGTTCTCTTTTTTTTTTCCTTTACTTAAATTTCTTGTTTATTTTTTTTTTCTCTCCAATTTTAACAGCACAACTTAATAAAATTTACTCTCTCTCACTCAATATTATTCATTTAGTAATTTATATTTTACTTTTTTTTACTATCAACAGATGAAATAAAAACCAATGAGTATAAATACTACCACAATAACAGAAAAAGAACATGGTTAAAAATTAACAACTGTTGTCTTTAGTTAAAAAAAATTTTTTTTTTTTAATCAAAATTCTTTTAAAATAAACGCAACAAATTTGTGCAACCATTGATGACCGCGATGGTAAATTATGCTTGTATAAGTGAAAATGTAATTATTCTCTTTAAAAAAAATGCTCTCTCTCTCTCTCATTATTAAGTTTTTTAGAACTGAGTTAGATTTCTAATTAACAATATTGTATAAAAAAAAACAAAGTTTAAGCCCGTAGCATTTTTTGCTTAAGCATAGTTTTTTTTCTCATTCTCTCTTCTGATATTTTCCTTTTATGTTTTTTTAATTCATTTATTTACTATTTATCTGGACAGGTACGAATGTTGTCGTTTGAATTTAATAAAAGGGAGTTTACACATGACCGGATATGGAGTTGACAAAAGTTCAAGTACTACAAATTATAACAATCAAAAGTTCTACCTTAAAAGGTGTAGCACAAAACGGATAGATGCAATGAAGTTTTGAAAATTCTTCCATTTTTGTGGTTTTAGATTTTCAATTTGCATTTTCAACTTACATACTTTCGACTTTGTAAATTAAAGCAATTGATTTCAACGTCATTTTCATAAGAGAAACAAAATTTTTATAGATTTTTATAAAACAACAGCCAAATTAAAACAAATAAAAACTTAACTAGAATCGGTAACGTTGTTAAGGTAGGGTTAGAAAAATTAAAACATAAAATCGTAAAAACATAAACTCGTGTATAAAATATGGGTTTCTGAAACTCCTACATATGTATCTAAATGAAAAGCTTACTATTACTTGCACTTCAACATTGTAGATGCCCATATTAATTGCTTTAGGAAAACCATTGAGACCCGCGAGTAGTATAAATAACTTCCAACAGTTTTATGGGTTTGGATGAACTGCTTATTTACGTAGGGATTATCTAACATTTCCAGTGGTCTCCTGTCCTTGTTTGCTCAAAAAAAAGAATGGCATGATCTCTCACTGGTTAAGTGAGAGATGACACTCTCAAATAAAAAAGTATTTTTTTGCGTAATTTAAAAATTAAGATGAAAATGATTCGTATGAGATATTACATAACACGTTTTTTAAATTTTTAACAATACAACAAGCGGATAATAATTTATATTTCCAAAGGGAAGTTGAATGAAACTACAACCGAATAAAAACGGTAGCACCTTCCGTTCTTCATCAGCAATAATTTTAATGCCTTTTACTTCAGGTAAAAACACTCAAAAAATATTAATCCAAAAATGCTCTCTCTATTTCATGAATTTTCGTTACTTTATTTAAAGCGAAGAGAGAAATGATGAAGAAAACATTAAGAAAAACGTAGCAATAACAAAATCGATCAAACTCCATGTTTTTTTTTCTTCATTTTTACAGTTGTATTGCGGTATATTTCAAGAGCGATCATCCATAATTTTCTTCAGTCACTGAGAAACATTCGAATGGGACGCATGCGCTCGCTACCAAAATTGGATTACAATTTTTTTTTATTTTCATTTTAAGTTAATGGATAACTTAATACTTTAATATTATTCATATAAAATAATAAGAATGGTTGTAAATTAATTTTATCCATATAAAATTTTTTGGAAAATTAAAGTTTCTTTAAAAATAAATTAAAAAAAATATTAAAATGAAGAAAAAATATTTTAAATAAATTTGAAAAGAAAAAAATTGAAAATATTTTGAAAAATATAAAGTGGCAATATAAGGAAAAAAGTTATAAAATGATTTGAAAATAAAAAGTAAAAATATCGAGAAAAAATATTATTTTAATAAAAATAAAAAAAAAACACGATTTTTTCGATAATTCAAATGGAATATATTTTAAAAATTTCATAAAAACAAATAAGTATAAATTTAGTAAAAAATAAATTTTAACATAAGAAACTGTTATAAAAAAAAGCGACAATGTTTTCTGGTAAAAAATATTCCGTTTTAACCATAATTTTAACGGTGGCGTGGACAGTACTCGGCGCCGCATTAAGTAAAGTCGTTTTATATCAAGCGCCGGATGAATGTCGTTGGGCCGGTGATTTTGAAACAGATATAACACTAATTTGTCAATTACGAACAATAAATAGTGAACTTGAAAATACGAATTTTAGTGTTATACAACCGCAAAACACGGTACGTTTACGTTTAGAATGTAACGATACGCTGTTTTTTCAAAGTAGTTTGAATCCGGGAAGCTTCAAAAATTTAGTTGAATTACGTGCGTTAACAATCGAATATTGTAAATTGGGTAATTTGGTTGAAGGTTCATTCCGTGGATTATCTGACTTAAGAAATTTAACTGTAAAAACTCATAATTCTGATTGGTCATCAATGAACATGGAAATGTCAGCAAATGTATTTAATGATTTCCGTCAGTTACAAGTATTGGATTTGAGCGAAAATAATATTTGGACAATACCAGACGGTGTATTTTGTCCATTAAAAATTCTTAATAATTTGAATATATCAAATAATTTAATTCAAGATATCACAAATTTTCGTTTCAGTTCGAGAAATGTTAATACAATGCGAAAATCAAAAATATGCGGTGAATCAATGTTAGAAATTGATTTATCTTATAATAAAATTGCTAGTTTACAAACTTCTATTTTGTCAGCTTTGAGCCGCTTAAGACGGCTTAATTTAAAACACAATGAATTAAATTTTATTGCTGATCGAGCTTTTGAAGGTCTTATGTCACTCAGTTTTGTTGATTTAAGTCAAAACAAATTACAAAATTTGCCACCAGATTTATTTTCTGAAACAAGATATATCCGGGAAATATATTTGCAAAATAATAGTATGAACGTTATTGCACCCGGCCTATTTGTTGATTTGGCAGAACTTTTAGTTTTGGATCTATCAAATAATGAGTTAACTTCACAATGGGTTAATTCACATACATTTCTTGGATTAAAACGTTTAATGCTCTTAAATTTATCGAATAATCGATTAAATAAATTGGAACCATTTATATTTAGAAGCTTAAGAAGTTTACAAGTATTACGATTACAAGATAATTTCATAGATCATATACCAGAAGAAACTTTTTCAGAATTATCAAATCTTCATACTTTAACTTTATCAAATAATCGTATCACACATATTAGTGATTTTACCTTCAGTGGATTATATGGGATATTAGTGTTATCATTGGATTACAATAAAATATCAACTATAAGTTTATTAGCATTTAAAAACTGCTCTAGTTTACAAGATCTTCATATAAATGGTAATAAACTGGCAAGTATACCGACTGCTTTACAATTTGTACCATGGTTAAAAACGCTTGATATCGGTGAAAACACTATTTCAACTATTGAAAATACAAGTCTTTTATATATGGAAAAATTATATGGATTACGATTAACTGAAAATCAAATAACACGTATTAAGAAAGGTTATTTCGATAAAATGCAATCATTACAAATTTTAAATTTATCAGAAAACAAAATAAAATTCATTGAACCGGGTTCATTTGATAAAAATAAACAATTACAAGCGATACGCTTAGATGGTAATTTTATAGAGTCAATAAACGGATTATTTTTGGAATTACCTAATTTAGTTTGGTTGAATATATCTGATAATAATTTAGAAAAATTTGAATACTCAACCATACCAACAAATTTACAATGGCTTGATGTACATGCAAATAAAATATCCCAATTAGGAAATTACTTTGAAATTGAATCGGAGCTTTCTTTAAGTACATTTGATGCTAGCTCAAATAGTTTAACCGAAATAACAACAACATCAATACCAAATAGTGTCTCATTATTATATTTAAATGATAATTTAATATCAAAAATACAACCGTATACATTCTTTAAGAAAACCAATTTAACACGAGTAGATTTATTTGGTAATAAATTAACAACATTGGAACCGAATGCATTACGTTTATCTCCAATACAAGATGATAAAAAAATTCCTGAATTTTATATTGGTGGTAATCCATTTAAATGTGATTGCAATTTAGATTGGTTACAAAAGACATCAAATATTGGTGATACTAGTAGAACTCAACCAAAATTAATGGATTTACAGAATATACAATGTAAATTATCATATAAACGTGATCGTATGCATGTACCATTGATTGAAACAAAATCAAATGAATTTTTATGCAAATATGAATCACATTGTTTTGCCTTATGCCAATGCTGTGAATTTAGTACATGTGATTGTAAAATGGAATGTCCAAGTAAATGTAAATGTTTTCATGATCAAACATGGACAACAAATGTTGTAGATTGTTCAAAATCTGGTTATACGAATCAATTACCAAATCATATACCAATGGATTCAACACAATTATATTTGGATGGTAATAAGTTTCCTGAATTAACTAGTCATATATTTTTGGGACGTAAACGTTTAAAACTTTTATATTTAAATAATTCGCATATTGAAACAATATTAAATCGTACATTTTACGGTCTATTAGAATTGGAAATATTACAATTAAATGAAAATAAATTACAAAAATTAAATGGTAATGAATTTCATGGTCTGGAAAATTTAAAAGAATTATATTTACAAAATAATAAAATTTCATATATAAATAATTATGCATTCACAAATTTACATAATTTGAAAGTATTACGTTTAGATAATAATGAAATGAATCAATTTACATTATGGGAATTTCTACCACCATATATTAATGATTTACATTTAGCTGGTAATCCATTACAATGTGATTGTAAATTTATTTCAATATTCCGAGAATATAGTAAAATAAAAAATAATATTAAAGATATTAAAGAAATCTATTGTACAATAACATTAACTCCAGAAGATCCAAAACAATTACAAACAATTGTTAATAAAATTGAACCGATAGATGCATTATTGTATCCACCAAAAACGATAAATGCAACTGGGAATAATAGTCATAGAACATTAATATGCAAGCATGAATTGAATGTTAACATAGATGGTAACGATCATGATAATAATATAATTGGTAATAACAATGTTGTCTACGATGGTAACGATGAAAATATGTTTTATGGTAATGAGAATTTTTATAATAATACCATAAGAAAAAAATTAATTTTAACTCCGTATACAGGAGGAGTTCAAGGATATATACCTTTTATGATAGCAGGTAGTTTCCTATTAATTATTATTGGAATATTATTCATATTTATATTTCGACAAGAAATGCGTGTTTGGTTTCATTCACGTTTCGGTATTCGTTTATTTTATAATGCAAGTTTGGATGTTGACAAAAATGAAAAAGAAAAAATTTTCGATGCATTCGTTTCATATAGTAATAAAGATGAACATTTTGTTTTAGAGGAATTGGCACCAATTTTAGAAGAAACCGGTGATTTACGTTATAAATTATGTTTACATTATAGAGATTTTCCTATAAATGGTGTTTATTCATTACCTGATACTTTAACACATGCAATTGATAATTCAAGGCGTACAATAATGATATTATCGGAAAATTTTATAAAAACCGAATGGTCACGTTATGAATTTAAAACAGCACATCATCAAGTATTAAGAGATCGTAAACGTCGTTTAATTGTAATATTAATTGGTGAATTACCACCATTAAAAGATTTAGATCCCGATTTAAGATTATATTTAAAAACTAATACATATTTGCAATGGGGTGATAAATTATTTTGGGAGAAATTACGTTTTGCATTACCCGATGTACAAAGTAATCATGAACGTATACCAATTAATTGTAATCCAAATGTAAATAATAGTTTAAATATGTTTCCAATGATACAACATCATTCACATATAAATCAACATCATAACAATATACATCACCATCATAATGTACATCAACATCATAATCATTTACATATGCAACATTCGCAACAACATGTTACTAGTCCAGTTCAATGTAACAATACAACAACACAATTAAATAGTAATTTAGGAGGAGGTGGAGGACAAATTATACCACCAGCAGTACCACCGATAACAAATAGACCACCACTTATATCAAATTTAATTAATGTTCCTTCTGCATCAGTACGTCGTAGTATTAATCGTAATATAAATAATCCAACAAATCAACAACAACAGCAGCATCAGCAGCAACAACAACAGCATTCATCACAACAGCATCAGCAACAGTCACAACAACAACAACAACAACAACAACAGCAGCCACAACAAGAGCCTCTTTTAGTAGGCGGAAATAGGGGGACAACAAATAATACAACAAGATCATCACCCAGGACAGTTGCCATTCATATATAAAAACAAAATTATAAAGACAGGAATACCAGAAAGAAAGAACGGGGGACATTTCTGTTATTTTCTTTTGTGAAAACGAAGGGAAAATTATTTTTAGGAAAATTTATTTTTAAAATTTTCTTATATCCATAAAATTTTTTTTCCTTTGGTATGTAAATAGAATTAAATTAAAATTTAAGAAAAGAAACGAAAAATATTTATTGTAGAAATTTTTACAATTTTTCATACGTTATAATCTTATTTAAAAAGAAATAATAACAATGGAGGAATTTATGTAAATTTCAATAAGAAAAGAAATAAAACAAAAGACTTTTTAGGCGCTAGCTTCCTATTGTATAAGTTTAAGATGAAAATGAATATTGAATTTTTCAATTTTCTTTTTTCAAAAACAAAAAGAAAAAAGTGATTTTTTTCTTTGTTTTTTTTCATTCGATTTTTGTATATTTTTAAAATGTAGGAAAATTAATTTATGTAAATATTAAAAGAAAAAACATTTATTTTAAATGTAAACTATTTTGTAAATAAAGAGAAAAGACACATAAGATTTATTTATGAAAACAAAAAGAACAAATTGAAACAATTTTTGTTATTCCTTCGATCTAAACAAGAAAAAAATTATTCATAGTGTAGGCAATTTTCACTTATTTAGAAAATAAATTAAAAAGAAAGCAAACTGTGAATGATTTTTTTTTTTGACAAAATAAATGTCAGTGAAATGTCAATTACAATTTAAAATTTGATGTAATTATTTCTCCTTTATACAGATGCATGCATAGAAGTTCAATTTTTATTTATTTTAGTGAAAACAATTAGATATTTTGAACACATTATTAATGTTTAAATAAAAAAAAATAATTACCTACATAAGTTTTGAGAGGTTGCTTATGCTTATTTGCATTCCGAAATGATTTCACTCATTGTAACGTGAACTGTATGTATATGCAACGTAATAATATTAGACATTTGTTTAAAATTTATTTTAAATTATTTTTGCTACCGAAAAACAATTATTTCGCATTTTCGATTATAGCTTGTATTTGGGTTCCGGTTTTAAAAATAGTTAGTAATTTTATAGATTTTCCAAAGCTGTATATGGAAGTAAAATAACTTTAAATATATTCGGTGTCAAAATTAATTTTTAAATTGAATTGAAAATCATATAATTGCATTATGGAACTCAAGATTATTTTAAAGTGAAAATTTATTTGTCAAAATTAAATATTATATTTTTATAAAATTTGACATTGTATTTTTATTTATATGTCAAAAATTTATTACGTTTCCTTCAATTAATATTGAAGGATTCAAATCACACTTATATGAAGTCTTCATTTCACAATTAAATCAACAATTACTATATATTTAATTGACATTATAAACTGACATTAATAATAAAAATGTTTTAAATTGTTTGTTTATTGAAAAAAAAAATTTCATAAAACTAGAATTAAAAATCACTATAAACTATAGTAAATAAAATATTAATAAAAATAAGATTTGTGATATAAAAATTATATAAATATACTAAAATACTTAATTAGCAATTAAATTTAAATTAAACAGAATAACAAAAAACAAACAAAAGAATGAAATTTAAACTTAAATTCAATTGTAAATAAGTAATGTTTATTTACTACAAAAAAAATAACAAAATTCTGCATAAAATACTCATGAAAATGATAATTAAAAATTTAAAAAATGTAAATAAATATTAAATGAAAAACAAAAATGTAAGAGAAAAATAAAAATAATAAAAAATTTAAAAATTAAATTATTCTTCAATATTATTCCTCATGTCAAATTTGATATTTTGTCTGTTATGCACGTTCACAATCACTTTATAAAAGAACATACAACCGTCAAAATAAAAAAATATGTCAAATTAAGTACAAGTCAAACTAAAAAATGAGCATTTGAATCTTACTTATTAAAATGCTCTAAATAACACTGAAATACATACAAAATTTTCAGTACAATTCAATTAATATTAATTTTGTTAGATAGTATTGATCGTCATTTTTTTCAAAACCATATTGGGGTTTTGACATTTCGTTAGTTGTTACATTACCAACATACTTATTTTGTGTCTTAATTTCAATCTTATAACACAAAATTTAATATTTGAATAATTTTTTTAATGTTAAAAACTTTGACATATCAAAAATATCCAATTATTTTATATAAAAATTAAAATATTCCTATAACGCACAATTTTGTGTGTGTTATACACGAATTTGAAAAAAAAAATATATGTTATTTTCTCTTTTATTTCAAATTTATAAAAATTTACATAATGCTACTACTATATTAAACACTTATTCGTATATAGTAGTGACAAAATCAGTAGGTAGATCACATTTATAAATTATTACATTTTAATTAAATTATTATACAATAATTTGACCTCTATACCCTTTTATATAAAAATCTAAATTTTAATTCAAAATATATAGCATTTATAATAATTATGTATAGATGTGCCTATGCATAAGGCATTTTATATTCGTATACGTGCAATTCGAAAGACAGGAAACATTAATACAAAATATTCAACACCATATTAACATACATAATTTCATTTAAAAAAGATTAAAATTCCATATATAGAACGCCAATATATATGCAATAAAAATTTTTATTTCAAATAAAATAGGTGATTTTCCAAGCATTGGGTTTGTTGAAATTTTAAGAAAAACATCAGATAATTTTCAAAAATTTAATTGTATTTTTTTGTGCGGTAAATTAATCGATCCAAATCAATCGATTCATCGAATCAGCGAATATATGTAATTCAGATTTTGACAGATTTTCGGCTACGATTTCGACAGAAATATGTATAAAGTTTGAAACAGAACCCAAAACACTATTATTAATAGTTAAATGCTATTTGAGACCCTTATTCAGGCGCCAGTTAAGTAATAACAACTTGAGAGCATTGAAAATCAAATTGAATCGATTAACAACAGTAAAGAATCGTCAAAAATGACAGGGATGTTACAAATAAAAGTAGAAATCACCCATTATTTATTGTTACATTTTAAATACATAATATCTTTAACAAATAAAATCAAATCAATGGTAAAAATACCAAAAAAAAAATATTAATAGAAAATAAAACAAAAACTCATTTGGAATTCAAATTTGATATGTGAAAAATTATTGAGGAAATTTCTAATTAAAATACACACTTTTTACATTAATAATTTATATTATCTGAAGTCATAAACTCTTTTGTCTTAATTAATTTAATAAAATTATAAAAAATACAAAAAAAAATTAAAAAAAAAAAATTAATAAAAATTAAATGAATTTATTATAAGATTTATTATAATTAAAAAAAAAACGTTGTCTATAAAATTTTTATATTAAGTAGAAGAAGAAATAATAAATTTAAATTATATTTTATGTAAATATTTATTAAAACAAAAAAAAAATCAAAGGAAATCTTAAACAATTAAATGAATTTATGTAAATCATTTATAGTGACTGATATTATTTTATAAAAAGTTTGGATATAGAGAAAAAATTTGAACAAACACACACAAAAAAAATTGTTATATTAAAAAATAACGAAAAAACAAAACAAAAATTTTATTATATCATAAAAGAAACAAAAAAACAAAAATTAAAACAAAAAAATTAAACAAAAATAAAAATTTAATTAAAATACTTAAAAAAAATGATGATTTTTCTTTGCTTTTCTGCTTAATCACAATATTATGTAAGCAGGGTTACGTTTGTCAAAGGTTACTCATTTCATTATAAAAATATTGTAATTTTTCATTATGTCAGAAAATAATTCCAGTATTTTTGCCTTGACGATGGCATCTTAATTAATTTTTTTGGACTATCATATAATCTAACTAGGATGAAATGCCTAAGGGTCCAGCTAAATATAAACCAATTATTCATCAAGTTTTTATGATAATTAAAGACATGCTACTCGATTGTGTACATGATGTACACACTCTTACATATTATGAATACTAAATCCGATATAAAGATTGATTTTATGATGGCAAATAAAATTATACAAAATCTCTCTTTGTCTGTTTGTGAACCATCAGTTCAAATGATTTGATAAAAGTGATTTCTGAATGACATAATAATTGTAAAACATAAAATTGTTTTGATGGGCACGCAAGGACAAAGAAAGGAAAACAAAAATGATTTCGATTCTCGAAAATTAACAAAATAAACAAAATGGAAGAAATTGCTTTAATTAAATCACAAACAAATCGTAATAGAGAAGCGTATAAAAGAATATTTAATTCTAATTATCTACCTATAATTAAAGTGTCGGTGAATTTTCATGGTAATAAAAATGTCAAAAACAAAAATTTAATATTTTAAACCAAACGAGTCGCAAGTGTTATCAGCTTCATCACTACTTGTTGAAAACCAGCTTCAAGCTTCGTACTTGTAGAAAAAACAATGATTAAATTGTATTTTTTTATTAATCAGATAATTGACATAAATAAGTATAACATTTCGTGTTTATAAAAATTTACAATTAAATGTATTACAATTCACAAATAAATGCACTATATCAGAAACATCGGAGAAACGCCAAACAGTATATATGTGATTTGTTAAGTGAGTGCATAATCAAAGGTACTCATTAAATTTAAGCATTTATTGAAACTATTGTTGCATTTAATGAATTGGAAAAAAAAATACTGGCGCCCGAACATCACTTACAAATTACTTACATAAAATTGAAACTTCGAGTCTTGCGAAAAATGTGTTTATCGCACTTAAACTGTTTTATATGATAAGTTTACTTGACTTACTGAGTAAGCAAATTTGACTGCTCGAATTATATAGTCGTCAAATTTCGCAGTCATAAAAATTTATTATTTGTATATATAAAAAACTCGATTTATAATTTCAATATATCTTATTCAATTCAACAACTCCCAAACTAATGGTCGTTTTTAATCAAGAACATAATCTCAGAAACACAATTTATAGTTTCCTTCCTATACTGAATATATATCAATAACCATACTTTTACTTTTCATACAAATCCTTAAACAGACATTATTAATTACACATATGTACTCTTGTAAACACATATAGACAACATTTAAAATAGATACAACTTGAATACAAACGAATTACAGGAACAATTTACTATAGCTCAATTATAAAATCAAAATGCGTTTAAACTAAAATCATGAAAATTTTAACATCATAGACGCACTGACGAGAAGGATATCAATAAATTTGTGTCATCGGTATATTTTATTTTCTCCTTTAGAAAATAATATTTTTTATAGAAGTACCTACTTCTACATAATTGGATTTTTATGTCTTCAATACAATAATATGATTTATGAATAAATATTATGATGAATAAATCATCCTGGCTGGCGTTTCATTGTATTTATTCATACGATACATAGAAAATCAAATA